ATGAACCACCACACCCAGCCTGAACCCCCTTTAAAAATGCCTAGTAGAGGCGAGTCCCATGATTCACAGCACTAAACCCAGTGCTTTCAAAGGTTCAGGTGGGAGAACTGTTTGAGGCCAGGCGTTCAAGAACAGGCTGGGCATCACAGCAAGACACTGTCTATACAATAAATTATTAAAAGTCAGCCAGGGCCAAGCACAGTGTCTCACACTTGTAGTCCTAGCCCTTTGAGAGGCCGAGGCAAGAGGATTACTTGAGCACAGAAGTTCGAGACCAGCATAGGCAACATAACAAGACCACATTTCTCCAAAAGTTTTTAAAAAATAAAAAATTAGCTAGGCTGGATGTGGTGGCTCAAGACTGTAATCCCAGCACTTTGGGAAACTAAGGCAAGAGGATTGCCTGACCCCACCGGTTTGATACCAGCCTGGGTAACATGGTGAGACTACGTCTCTAAAATAAACCAGAAAATTAGCCAGGTGTGGTAGCACACACCTGTAGTTCTGGCTACTTGGAAGGCTGAGGCAGAAGGATTGCCGGAGCCCAGCAGGTTGAAGCTGGGGTGGACATGAGTATGTCACTGTACTCCAGCCTGGGCGATGCAGTGAGACTCCAACTCAAAAAAAAAAAAAATTAGCCGGGCATGGTGGCACATATATGTAGTCCCAGCTACTCGAGAGGCTGAGGTAAGAGAGCTCTTAAGTCCGGGAGTTCAAGTTCCAACTCCCGTTCGAGACCCGCCTGAGCAACAATAGAGCCCACTTTAAATAAAAAATAAAAAATAAAAAACCCCAAAAGCCCAGCAAACAAGGATATGTGTAGGCATTTGTGCAGACAGTGTCCAGAGATGTATTGGTATAACCTTACTGGATAATAACACATATATTTTTTTAAGTCAGAATGTAACTCTGTCACCCAGGCTAGAGGGCAGTGGCCCACTCACGGCCACGACAGCCTCGACCTGCTTGACTCAGGTGATCCTTCCACCTCAGCCTTCCAAGTACCTGGAACGGCGCTTGCGCCACCACGCCTGGCTAATTTTTTTATTTATCGTAGAGACAAGGTCTCACGAAGTTGCCCAGGCTGGTCTCGAAACCTTGGGCTCAAGCAATCCTCTTGGCTCCGCTTCCCAAAGTTTTGGGACTACAGGCATGAGCCATTCCTTATGTATAATATAACTCTGATTTTAACAATCAGAATACTGTATTTTGAAATCGAAATTTAAAACAATAAACAAACACTAAAATAAACAAATGACTAAATAAATGTCATACAAATATTATGATATATAATATAGTTATTAAGCATTATGTTCATGAAGACCTTCAAGGTAATGATGTGACCAAACACTGACTGAACTGAATTTGTTTTTGGTAGATACAGTATCTGGCTGTTTGCCCAGGCTTGTCACAAACTCCTGGCCTGAAGCAATCCTCCAGCTTGGACCTCCCAAAGCACTGGGATTATAGGCACAAACTACCATACCTGGCCCAGAACTAAATCTCTTGATGATGGGATTATAGGTAATCCTTCCTTTGACTTCACCTTGGAATTTCTTTGTTTTATTTTATTTTTTTTAGTTGGGAGTCTCTGTCACTCAGGCTGGAGTGCAGTGGCACGCTCATGGCCACCCCAGCATTGACCTGCTGGGTTCCAGTGATCCTTCAGCCTCAGCCTTCCAAGTAGCTGGAACTACAGGCGCAAGCTACCACGCCTGACTAATTTTTTATTTATTGTAGAGAGTTGCCTGGGCTAGTGTCAAACCTGAGGGCTCAGGCAATCCACTCGCTTTGACCTTCCAAACTGCTGGGATTACAGGCTGAGCCATCAAGGCCAGCCCACCTTGGAATTTCAAACAAAAAAATAGTATAGAAAAACAAATATTTAAAGGGAATAAACTTGAGCTGCCATAGTAACAATGCAGAGTCTCTAGGAAGCGCCTCCCTAGACTCATCTCCTGTGTGCCCACCCCCTCTGCATTGCAGCCAGGGATTTTACAAAGGCTCCTTGAGACAGCATCCTCCTGTAAAGGCCTGAGGCTGGACTGTCATGACTTTAACAGTCTTATTCTGCTTTCATCTCAACTGGGTGGACCTCAGGTGAGTTGGAAAAGAAGCTTCCCATGATGGCTCCAGTCATTCTTTTTTTTTTTTGATTTGGAGTCTCACTCTGTCACCCAGGCTGGAGTGCAGTGGCACACTCATGGCCACCACAGCTTCAACCTCCTGGGCTCAGGCAATCCTTCTACCTCAGTCTTCCAAGTAGCTAGAACTACAGGCACACACCACCACATTCTGCTAATTTTTGATTTATTGTAGAGATGAGGTCTCACCAAGTTGCCCAGGCTGTTCTTGAACCCCTGGACTCCGGCAATCCTCTCACCTCAGCCTCCCAGAAGGCTGGGATTATAGGCGTGAACCACCGCATCCAGCCTAGCCCAGTCCTTCTAATGCAGGAAGACCCAAGGTCCACATATGATGTACAAGTGTGGACCCAGGGGAGGCAGTTGTCAGGAATACATTAACTGCTCTAGGGAAGAAAGAAATACTATCTTGAAATGCTCCTCATATCAGCCTAGGGATCCTGGAAGGAAGTCAGAAAGGGGACTGAGAAGGCAGCAGTATACACAGGGATAAGAACAGCCCTCCCAGCCAGGCTCGGTGGCTCAGCCTGTAATCCCGTGCCTTTGGGAGGCTGAGGTGAGTCGGATTGCCTGAGCCCGCGGGTTCGAGACCCGCCTGGGCAGCGAGACCTCATCTCTACAATAAATCAAAAAATCAGCCGGGCATGGTAGCGCATGGCTGTAATTCCGGCAACTTGGAAGGCTGAGGCGGAAGGATCGCCGGAGCCTGGCAGGTTGAGGCTGCGGTGGCCGGAAGCGGCCATTGCACTCCAGTCTGGGCGACAGAGTGAGACTCCAACTCAAAAAACAAAAAACAGCCCTCCCATGGTTTACTGTCTCCAGGCCCAGCTTCCTCACCGGAAGGCAAGGCTTTGGCCTGGATACTCCCCAGAGTCCCAGCCCCAGCACACTGGGATTCCATAGGTTAGTCTCCATCTTTAGCTTAATGAGAACATAGCCCACCCTCCCATAGGGTCTTCCCCTGTGAAACTAGAGGGAGGCCTTGGTGTAAGGCAGAGCCCATCAAGCACCACTCTATCCTTGGAGTTGGTTTGCAGGCCCTCAGGCCACTGAGATCATAAGGCAAGAGTATCTAAGTTCTACTGCTGAAAACCATCCCATTCATTCTTATCATTCTCCAAAGAGCCATGGATTAACTGTTAACTTCTTGTATCAGCAGAAAACACTCTTAATTAGAAAGAGTCAAGTGGTAAGATGGTCCTGGCCATTCCAGGTCCCTACAGCAGGCAAGACTGTGGTCACAAGCTGACTCCTCCCACTCAGGGACTTCCTGTCACCCACACCCTGTGCCAAGCCCCACCACCTTCAAGCCTAAAGAAATCTAAAGGACTTATCTTGAAAAACAGACTGGAAACTCCCAGATTTAAACATTCCGAGCATGCACTAAGACATTACAAAGCATATCTTTCCTCAGTTATTCAAATGATTATAGAAATAAACTATATTCCAATAATTGCTGATCAAGTGCAAGGGACTTTTTTAAAAAAGGCATGACTTGATAACCAGCACAAGAAGCAAGTCTCTACAGAAAGCATGTTATATGTTCTGCTCTGGCAAAGCAGCCAATCTGCCATAAGAAAAAAAATTTTATATAACATGGCAGGACAGGATAAGGCACAGGGAAAGGGTCTAAGGCTCAGGTGGGCAAAGTGGGAAAGAAAAGGAAGAGAGAAGGCGAATGCAGAACAGGAAAGAAGGGGCGAACTCACACAGGTCAAGGCTGTCAGCCAGGGTGGCCAGAAAGCTACAATGCCCAAATGATGCCACCTGGTGGACAGATGGCACAGACCCAGGCAAGGAGGCAAGAATAAAGACACATGTGGGAATCTTTCACATTTAGTAAAATATCTATGATGCTGGAAGAAGCAGTGTCCTAGAGACAAAACAGAATGAGAAAAAGGTGGAAGCTAACAAGAGTCATGTTTAAGAGTAAGGAGGAAGCAGTGGCAGGAAAGAAGGGAGTGGCACTCTGGTCACCAGGACTAGAGGCTAGGGTACTGCCTAGGCTTCAAAGGCTTGAGAGGCAAGGAAGGGTCACGGTACCAGGGCTGCCAAACCAGAGGTGTGACCACGGAGGAGCCGGTGGGCTTGGTGTAATGCAGCTTCAGGAGGGTAGAAGAAACAGGGATTGCTAACTGGAGTTCAGAACAGGGCAAGCCTCTTGAGGGGTAAGGGGAACAAGCCTGGAAAAAAGAGCTGACACTAAATGAAGAGGGTGCTAAGGTCCAAAGAAAGTCATTGTTAGGAAGGACCCAAGTCCATCCAAAGGCAGAAGTCTGTGAGACAGGGAGCCAAGTGTGGGGAGCAGACACTGGAGGCACAAGCCTCAGAAAACACACTGGGTGAGGGGAATATGTGGGCAATTAGATTAGGAAAAGGGATTTGAGACAAACGAGGCACAGGTTGGAGGGTACCAGAAACAAAGCCCAGAACACAGGTGTCCAGAGGGTTAGAGACAAAGATGCAAAACCAAGGGGGAAAGCAAAATATCTAGATATGAATGCTTGTCCTCTCCAAGACATCAGAGAAGAAGGTCTCATCCTGATAAATAAGGCCAGGCATACAGAAGCCAGGAAAGAACAGGAGCACAGATACACACTCCTTTTCTCTGTGTTGACAACCAAAGACCTGGGAGCTCAGGACCCCCAGAATTTTATAAAACCAGTGCAAAGACATGACTCTCCTCATGAACCCAAGGCTATGCTTCCTACCTTGTCACCCTAGAGCCACAGTCTGCTTCTGTGCATCTATGGTTGCCTGGACTAAGAGCCTACTTAGGAGCAGAGAGATACGCCCAACAGTATACATACACCTTGAAGTGTAATCTGGTAAGAAGTGGAAGTGTTCAATACTCACAGGAACAATAAGCCCTTGCCAGGTCAATAAATTAGCTTCATCAACCTGGATGTTACGGAAGTTTTTCATTCCACATTTGCGGATTTCTTCAAGTTCCTGTTGATTGACAAAGCATAAAGGGGTGTCAAACAGGGGAAAGCACCACATATTAAGATCCCTCCTGACTCCCTTAAATTAAACAAAATGACAACACTGCCAATGACAAAATTTGAGAGTGAGGACTAGGTTGTGCCTGGTTAAAGAGGCATGAAGCTGCAGTGGATCCCTCCACAAGCTTGCTGCCTGTACCCATGCCCCAAACCAAGACGAGTCCCCACCTTGGTGAACCCCCTGAACATAGTGGGGGTGTGCTTCTGCGGATGCACCACCTCCTTGTTGGATAGGTTGCCATGTCTCTGTTTAAATCCCCTTGTCACTCTGCACAGGATATACATGGCAGGGGCTACACTGATGTCCTGTAGACCTGACTCCTTCCAATCAAGATTTAGTAGGCGCTGACTATGTATCAGATGCTGAGAACATAAGGATGAATAAAACTGCAAACTAGGAGCAAACCGGAGACAAACATATGCCCACAAAGTTTTCTGCCCAGCGCTGTTAAGTACGATTTCAAAAGGACTCTACCAAACACGAGCATGCAGCAAAGAGAGCTACTACCCAGTCTGGGATGGGGTACAGGAGACTCACTGAGCCTGCAATCCTCAGCTGCAAAAAGGGGTAGTAATAAGACCCAGAGCTACAGAAAATGAAAGGAAAGCCATATTGTAAGCAGCAGAAACTCTTATAAACGTGAAGGGTTATTAATGTACAAATAGTCAATGCGGCAAATGCCATCTTATCCAGAAAGCACAACATGAGGACCCCCTGCCTGATATATCTTTATAACCGTCTGTCACTTGCTTTTCAACTGTGCACTAGCCTGGTATTTCCTGTTACCTTAACACCTCAGTGAACGTCCAGCAAGCCTTATAACCCAAGCCACCCAGTGTGGCCTCCCACCAGCGCACCAGCCTCACCAACATCCTTCCACTCTGCCACCTGGATCCCACCACCGGCCTCCTGTCCAATGGCATGACAGCCTCTCCACATCTCTTGTCTCTCGGTGCCTTCCCTTCCACAGCCAGAGCACTCTCCAGCTGAGCTGTGTCTCCTGCTGGGCTGCTTCCTCTGGCCCAGCCCACATATCTTCCAGAACCAGGAAAGCTCCTCCCTGTGTGGTCTGTGGCTCACAGTGGCGTGGCATGGGGGCACCTATCAACCCCACATCAAGCCCAAAACGTCCTCTGGGTTCCACACTTCCATCACACGGCAGTAGCCTACATGGCACACTGGGGGTAAACAGGCATGGAAGGGGAAACCGAAGCCCATGTCACAGGTTCTGAGTTGGAGGATGTGCAGGGTACCTGGCCCAGAGTGGCCCAGGAAGGAGAGTGAGTCAAATGAACAAGAGGCAGAGATGGCTGGAAACAGGCATGAGTTTTTGCTCACCACAACTACCTGGGCCCAGCCCCACAAATTCTGCTCCAGCAAGTGTGGGTGGAGCCAGAACATGAAGATTTTTAACAGACAGGGCACTGGTAGCAGGGGCTGAGATGTCCTGCAATGGGGATGGGGTGGCCTGGCCCCACTTCCTGAGCCTACATGAGTGGAAACACGAAAACTGAGGGATCATTCCAAGCTGCCAGTTGCCATCTAGATGGTCCTACTGCTAATAATGCCATGACTCACTGGAAAGGTTCTCCTGGAGATTACGAAGCCTGGGCAAACTGAAGAAGGGGAGGCAATCTCACCTCCAAGCTGCTACCTATAGTAACTCCCCAAATAGAGTGTAAGCTAGATGATGACAGGCTCAAGAAGCCCTGGTCCCACCTGGGCCTATCACAGTGGTTCTCAAATATCTGCTTAATGAACAGGTTAGTGGATATAAGGCAAGCTGAAGCTCTGAGAGGAAGAGGGGACCTGGGATGGGAAGGGCTCACTATCAATACAGCGTCAAGGCTGTCTTTTGGCTTTCTGGTCCTTGGCTCAAGATACTAGAGTAAGATTCTTGGTTAGGGACAGAAGATATCATACATGTCCCTTAAGGCCTGAGTCCTATCAAACAAAATGCTTTAAGCAAGTATGGTCATGAAAAAAAAAAAAAAAACCCATACAGAATTCTGAAACTAGACAACTAAAAAAGAAAAAACAACAGCAGAACATATTTAATTTTCATGGATGAAAACAAAATTTAAAATAATCTGTAAATATACAGTTTTAGAAATCCACATACTAACAATATGAAGTATGAGTAATAAACACAAGGTAAATTTCACAACAATTACAAAAAATATGGCAAGATGAGACTCAACTGTAACATGGCAGTGTAAACTGTATCTTGCTCAATAAAAAGGAGAAGAACCTGTGAACCCTGTGAGCAGGAATGCAGGGAGGGCACCTATCAGTGCTGTGCTATCAAGGAGATCCACGAACAAAGATAAAAGCCACACTCATACTACTATGGGAGTAAGTCACACACCTCCTGACCAGACAGAAGAATGGGTAAGGCTGACACGCTAATGACTGTGGAGTTGGGAGGCTCAGAGAATCCAAAGCATGGTTATCAGATAATCTCTCAACTTTCCGTGCTGTCAGCTTAAGCTCTCCAAAGGCAGAAGGGGCAACCTCCTTTATATAATTCTAACCAACAAGGAAGAAATTATTATAAGGCAGGAGTGAGAGAAACTGAAACAAACAGACAAGCCCTGTCATCTTCAGGGAATGCGGAGCAACCTGTAGTAGAGGATTTCTCAACAGGGTGTCACCAGCATCCAGGCAGGAGTCCGCACTTGAGCATCCTGAACTCTTCCCACGAGAAGGATACCAGGCATTGTAATACTACCCCACTCTGATTTCCCAACATCCTCTAGAGCCTCAGACAAGAACCACTGGTGCTATCAGTGGTCAGGATGCTAAAAGTTCAGCATTGCTCAAGATGGCCCTGTGGAGAATAACTATGTAGCCCAAAATGCCGATCATGCCTCCACTGAAGAGAACAACTTCAATAACGTAGATTCAAAACATTCAGAGAAGAGAGAAGTTCCAGCTGAAGATCTGAGACCCAAAAAGGCAAATGACTCAAACTTTCAAGATGGTAAAACCTTCAAGCAAAAGTGTGTCCCTATAACAGAGAATGGTCCCGACAATAAAGTAGGAAAGAAATGTAAAGAAACTGATGCAAATCCAGAGTTTTCATTCAAAAGGAATGCAAATGGTGGAAGAAAGAACCTGACAAGAAAAACCACAGAGTAGAAGAGAGGAAGACCAAAGCTAAAAACGACAGGCGCTTACAAAATACCCTTCCACAAAGGTTTGTTTCAGTTCTGCTCAGAGCAAGCAGCAGCTCAAGTCTGATGGCGCAACACTGACAAACTGAGAGGAGTTGGGGGGGGGGGCCCAGAACCACCAACACATGTTCCTTCTCCTGATCGGGACAGCAGACTTCCTAGCCAGTGCTGCTGACACAAGAAAGAGAGCAATGCTTCTCAGAATGACGTCCATTCTGAGCCCAGAAGTAAATTTCAGCATATAGAAGGAATCTGAAAGAGCCCGGGGGTGCTGCCCAGCTCCTGAAAAAAGAAAAGGGTCATTCCCTAAACTCTAGTCCAGAGAGCTTGATGCCCATTCCAGGACAAAGTGTTGAGTGTGGCAGAGAAGAAAAGCTACTCAATAACTGTGCAAGCACTGACAGGAGAGACACCACTGCTCCAAGTCCTGAAAAGAGGCCAGAAGGCCAGAAAGCAAGAGACTGCCACACAGGGTCAGCACTCAGCAACCGGCTTGGAGTATTAGCAAAGCAGTTAACAAACTTTCTCTCCGTTTCTTTTTTGGGGGGGGGGGCGGGGAAGGGTCTACAATGAGGCCTAGAAAACTGTTTACAATCTCCCAGATAATCCTCACACAAGGCCAGGTTTGAGAACCTTCAGAAACCATTAATTTGTGCTCTTGGTCCTCGTTAAGAAATCCAAAAGGGCTTGAGGACTCTTCCCTTCCCCCCTGAAATATGTAAGAACCCCCTCATACAAGGATCCCAAATGGGAGGTGTGTAGAATTCCACCACATCAGACTGGTGATTTCTTCCTCCACATCTTTCCCTAGAACGTCTCCTGGAAAAACATCCCCAATTGCCCTGCCTATCCCTGGTCCCATGTCCCAAACATGCTCATGCTCATGCCTCTCTCAAACGCCTCTTCCTCTATGAAGGCCCCCGGCTAAAAGTGATGCTTCTTTCTCGTAACAGCCATTCAGTATTTCAGGAAAGACAAATAAATAGAGGCTGAATGAAGAAGACCTGGAGAGATAGTTGAATGACTTAAGAACTGGTGATCTGAGGTCACTCCCAAGGGCAATGAGCTGATAGAGATGCAGTCAGGTACCACACATGGGGGAGGAAAAAATGCTCACAGGCTTGAAACCCAATTAGTCTCTGAGAATCCTTGAAAGCAAAACAACACCTAAGTCACAGAATGAAATTCTTTTAAAGATACAGTAAAGACCTAGACATGGTTCCAAAGAGCTAACACTTCAGCTGGCACAGCAGTGTGAAAAACTGACTGGCCTAGCTAACCAAAGGTATATGCCATCGTGTTTAACATCCACACTACCCTGAGCTTTCCAGAGCCAAATGCCACGTCCAGTTCTGACACCACACTTTATTTTTATTTTTTTGTAGTCAGAGTTTCATTCTGTCACCCAGGCTGGAGTGCAGTGGCATGCTCATGGTCACCACAGCCTCAACCTTCTGTGCTCAGGTGATCCTTCCACCTCAGCCTTCCAAGAAGCTGGACCCACAGATGAGTGTCACCACGCCCAGTTAATTTTTTGATTTATTGTAGAGATGAGGTCTTGCCAAGTTGCCCAGGCTGGTCTCGAAACCCTGGGCTCAGGCAGTCTTCTTGCCTCCGCCTCCCAAAGTGCTGGGATTACAGGCATAAGCCACCGTGTCCAGTTTGGTACCACACTTTAGAAGACCACATCAAACGGAGGTTGCTCAGGACAAGAATCACAAGGATCATGTCCTACCAGGAATGATAAAAGAAAAAAAAAAAAAAAACAGG